TCCCTACACAAGACACACTATGGACATTTACATACACTGACCCTTTAACTGAACATATTTACAAACATCCACAAGATAAAATTTCATGTTCTCCTCTAGACTCAAGCATCCAAAATTACTCTTTCCGTAGGTATGGTATGAAGGCTCATCTTCTGTGGTTATGTTTATGTTGTGAACTGAATCCTAATAATATCAAAGCCGTGTGTGTGAGAGAGAGAAGGGTTCTAGGCCAGAGCAGGGATGCTGCAATTTCGCCTGTCCCTGTCAAGGCAATCAAACCCCTCAATTCTCACAGATGGATTGTTACCAAAATTGGCTCGAACACACCCTCCCTTCCTTGCTGAGGAAGAGGGAGACGGTGGCAGACCCGACACAGCAGCCGGAGCCACCGCCCACGACGGTGGTGAGAGCGGGGAAAAATTCTCTTCCCCAAATCGAGCATCCTGAATCAAAGGGTTAGCTACTCTGCTCGGCGGCGACCCGCAGAAAAATGGGGGCGGCGAGGCTACCACTGGCCACGATTGCTCTACATCAAAATCACTCTCCTGCAAACCCATCCATACACAAGAACAATTCGATCTAAGCACAACCTTCATCAGGAATCAACAAATTAACCTAAATCATACCATTCACAATCAAAAAAGAAAATATGAAACACAGGAGTACCTTGGAGAGTATGTTGTCCAAAGGATTTGAGCCAGACGAGTTTGAATCACATGGTTCAACCTGGCAACTGCAGAGAAACAAAAGTACGCAAAGCTTAATAATAATACTACCAATAATATTATAATTTAAATAAGAAGAACAATTTAACAATACCTTAGATGCCACCGGAAGGGTCTGACAGGGTGTTCGTTGGCGGCGAAGTTGAAGAGGCCGAGGCGGCGGGGCTTGGGGCAAACGACGCTATTCTCTTCGTGGGATGGAACGACGACGTTTTGGATGGAAAACTGCTTCATCTTCTTCCTTGGATTTCTATCTATATATTTTAATTAGTGACTAAAACCTGTTCACCAACACACATATAGAAGAAGCGGAAAATTATTATGTTGTAGAACAAAAATTCAAAAACTAAAAGGAATAAACAAATCAAGCGTGTCAAAACCATTTCAGTATTATAATCTTCTAACACAGATCGTAAACGTGCGTGAATAAAATAACTATTTAGACAGCTGAAGGCTAAGATCTAGTAAAATTCAAAAACCTAATAACATAATTAAATTATAATTACGCCTAGAGTTTCTCAAATCTCCACCACCTAGCTCCTATCATAGCTAGCTACACACCTCACCAGCAGATCTAACTAAAACCATAGAAATAGAATCATTCACACAACACAAACACAAACACAAATTATAACATAAATTGAGACAAACACAATTTGAGGCAGATCTGGAAAAGGAAGGTGTTGGTTTACATTTTTTTGAAAAAGAAAGAAAGGAAAAAGGTTGCGAGAAGAGAGATCTGAGAGAAAGAAAGTGGTAGTAGCAGTAGTACGAACCTGTGAGGTTGGGTTTGATTAAACTGTACAGAGGTTGTGAACAAAAAGAATTGAATTGAAAGAAGAAGAGGAGAGAGAGAAAAAGTAAAGGAGAAGAATGAACTACGATCGAGTTCCAACCACACTATCCTTGCTTTATATTTATCTTATTATTATAATAATTGAATTTTGGAGAAGATTTTTTTAATATTGTATGGTTAATTCATGCGGGCGGTGCCTCCCGCGATATATAACATGGCTCTAACCTTTCTCTTTCTCACACAGTAAAATACTAAAATATGGTTAGAATATTAAAATTAAAATACTTAAATATCAAGGCATCCCGTGGGGAATGAGAATGAGTCTTGTATGGTGGAGCGTTTCGCAACGCACGTCGTTTAACCTCGTCCCTACACGTGGCAGCCTCTCGGGGATTTAGGAT